GAGCTAAATGCTCGAAACAAGGTCAAAGCTACCAATACATTTGCTGTGCCAGTCCTTTCCTATTCCTTTGGAGTAGTTGAGTGGACAAAACAAAATATCCAAAGTCTTGACCGTCTGACCAGAAGGATCATGTCTGATAACAGCCCACCACCCTCGTTCCTCTCTTAACCGTTTATACATGCCAATCAATTCTGGAGGTCGGGTTTGATTAATGTGGAGGCTCTTCATGATAGAATTTTATTGTGTACTTTTGCACATATTTATTTATCAGATGATCCTCTGGTGATGCATGTGAAGACTCATGATGAAAGCAAGGAATTCCACAGCTATTTTAAGCGTGCCAAGGTTGTTGGACAGAATCTGAAATTTGAGGTAGATTTTGTTGATGGCGATGTACTGCTGGACGGTACAGCGATGGGAGTAAACCAGGTGAAGCTCTTTACCAAGTCCGCCCAGAGTCGGTCTTTTGTGGAGAAGCTTTCTGAGAAGCCATTGCATCGTGTGTACATGCAGTGTGTTGAACAGAATAGCAATCCCACCGACTCCTTCGCCTGGATGAAATCAGCTGGTCTTAAATGTGAAACTGAGGGCTTCCTTTTTGCTGCTCAAGACCAGTCCCTTCCCACTCGCAACCGCCTAAATGTGATTCTTAAAGAAAATATCAATATGAAATGTAGACTTTGCAATGAATTCACGGAGACTGTCCAACACCTTGTCAGTGGATGCCCTTCCTTGGCACAAACAGCATATCTTAAACGACATGATGGCATGGCTCGTTGCTTTTGCTACCGTCTCCGACATGCCTGTGGCTTTGACTCCGAGGTCCATCCATGGTACGACCCTGAACATGTCCAGGGCGTCATGGAAAATGATGCTTTCAAACTTCTCTGGAACAGGCCCATATACAGCCTCAGAAGAATTCCAGCCAACAAACCTGATCTTGTCCTTTTTGATAAAGCCAATGAATTTATATATATCATTGAATTTTCTGTCCCTTTTGACACCAATGTGATTGGCAAGATTAAGGAAAAGCATGATAAATATGCGGACCTCGCCTTTGAAATGTCTCGCTTGCATCCCAAGTACACTGTCGTCAGGCACCCCATTGTTCTCGGTGCCCTTGGTTTGGTACCTCCTGCTCTCTTGGCACAGATCAGGAGAGTGCCCGGGTTCTCCACCGGGAGTACAGCTCTTCTGACACTCTGGGTAATGCAGAAGGCTGCAGTGTTGGGGAGCCTTCATATTGTCCGGAAAGTTCATGGTGGGTTCGACTAGGCAGCGTTTCCTGGGAGAAGTCTCATTCGCTGTCTGGGCTGCGTGTAGAGGGGGCAAGGGCCCTGGGCTGATGATGAGCCTTACCAGCCTGACTGTGCCAGGATCACCCGAACCCTCTCTGCTGCATATTATCTTTAATCTGTAAAACATAACAATAATAATAGAACACTTGTAATGCGCATATATCCATGATTGTTTGCATGCTCACAGCGAACAGTGAGAAAAGCTGGAGAGAAGAGATAGGCCTGAGGTTGTGACCTAGAAAGAGTCAAGTCAGTACAGACTCTCAGGTAGTGTGGTAGGCTGTTCCATAGGATCGGTGCTGTGAAAGTAAAAGTCATTTTGCCATATTGTGATGTTCTTACTTTTGGGCAGTTAACAGGTTTTTGTTTTATGAGTGAAGGCGTCTTCCTGGAGTATAAATTTCTACTAGTTCCTGAAGCTAAGATGGTACAGTATGATGAAAACATTTGAAAACGATGTAGAGGATTTTGAAAGAAATTCTGTGGTCAATGGAGCTGTTTTAGAAGAAGAGTGATGTGGTCAGTTTTGCGTGTTAGAGTCACAATCCTCGTAGCAATGTTCTGGACATGTTGAAGTTGGTAAAGCTGAGCTTTTGTAGCGCCGGAGAGGAGACTGTTGCAGTAGTCGAGCCAGTGAAAGGACTAAAATAACAGCAGAGGTTTTAGTTAGATATTTTTTTACAGATCCAATGTTTCGTAGTTGGAGGGAAAACAATTTCACAACATTCTTTACATGACTGCTTAAAGAACGATCCGAGTAAAATGTGACACCCAAGTGTCTTACAGTGTAAGAAACTGATAACTCTACGTCGCCATCATCAAAAGTGGAGAAGCAAGACTGCGGGCATCAGTTCCAAAGAGAAGAAGTCTTAGTTTCGTTGAGTTTCAACTTGTTGTTGAACATCCAGGCCCCGATGTCTCGAAACAAACTTAAGTTTTTACTCAAGTTTCAAACTGTATTTGACAATTTTAAACAGCTGAAGATTTCACTCCACTGGATTTTTAAAATAAAAAAGCCCAAACAACTTAAGAAATCTATCCACCAAACTCAATTTGTCAACTGAGTTTGAGTTTAATATCGATTTCAGTTCATTCTGGGAAACGCAATTTTCCTGCGTTTTCTCAGACTTAAGTTTGTTTCGAGAAATCGGGGCCAGGTTTTTATCTCACTGCAGTACTCGGTGAAGTGTAGGGTCTATTTCAACTGGGCTTGCTTTAAAGGCATCATGTAGTTGAACATCGTCTGCATACATATGGAAGCCAATCATGGACTTATCAATGCAAGCTCTTTGACGTACAATGTGAACAGGACTGGCCCGAGTACGGAACCATGTGACGCCACAGTCAAGATGGATTTGATCAGAAGAGGGCCAGTTTACAGACGCATATTGGCAACGTCCAGTGAGATAGGATGTGAACCACTGGTGAGCAGTACCGTCTATTCCAAACTCAGTCTTCCGTCGAAGACGTAGCTAGATGTATTCGTGGGATGGCTGTCTTTTAGTTTTCCCATTTTTTAACCGTCGACTTTCCCCCAAACTGACAGGTTTTTGCCTAAGTGTGTTTCAACACTACACCGTGACATCCTCATCCGTCACTAGACACATGTCAGTCGTGATTCTACCATGACTACGTGAAATACTCGAATTTGATTGGACAATAACAAAAATACACACTATCAATCCTGGATTGAAAATGCGTTTGAATTCCTGACCGCTTCACTGCGTACGTACACAGCACTGCCGCACTACTTCAGCTTGACCACCAACATGGCTAACATCAACACAACAGACGTGATGCAAATGTATATAAAACATTTATTAAACTCGAAAAATACAATAAAATGGTTTTTCATCCTCAATTATTAGGGAACCACACTACCATTATCTTCTACATGTATTATAAAAATATTCAAACTCAATTACAATGCACAGACCCAAACATAAAAAAACACAGTATCTAACATATAAATCAGTGTGATTGAGGGAGTTTAGTTTTACGCCGCACTCAGCAATATTCCAGCTATATGGCGACGGTCTGTAAATAGACGAGTCGCGACCAGACAATCCAGTGATCAACAGCATGAGCATCTATCTGCGCAATTGGGAAAAGATGACATGTGTCAAGCAAGTCAGCGAGCCTGACCACCAGATCCTGTCAGAAAAAGGTTCTATTCTTCGATTCTGCAGGGTTCAGATTCGACAGTCAATGAAGTATTTTCTCCACTGTCACTTCAAATTTCAACCTTTCACAAAATGTAAACACTGGCTCGTCCGCCATTTCAAACTGTTGCGTAACAACTACTTATAAGTAGGTCAGATGATTCCATTATAGTGTCGCCGGGGGGTGCAGTAACACGGCACACAAAACAACAGGCTGGTTTCGGTCGTGTGAAGCTCTCAAGTATTATAACTGCATTGAATAAACAAGTTTGTTTTCTGAGGACAAAATATTTTTTTATGTTGCAATGTTTAAAACAATACAAACTGCACCTACCACTCCCACCACAGACGAGTTCAAATCGCCTCTCGTCCCATGCCGGATTATGCAGGATCTCATGCAAAACGAAGAAGTTCGAATATAAATCGGTTATGGTAGAATGGAGATAAACATACTGTGTTTGGAAATTAGGTGAATGTTACGCATTCGGATTTAAATAAAATTTAGATACTATCAGTTCGGTCTAACATTCATCTAATTTCTAAACACAGAACATTTACCTCCTAAATGAACGATGTTCCGGCGCACAGACTTGATCAAGTAACGTCTTAGTTGTTTTAGCATATTCAATGATATTGCATTTAAAAGCTCATTTTTACCATATTAACAAATGTTAATAAATTATTCCGTAAAAAAAATTGTGTTATATTTTAAAGCGATTTTACGAGGTACTATTTTCCATAGCGTAGTTATTTTATTACCGCTGAAGAAGTTCGGTTTAAGACGCGCATGAATTTGAATCAGTTGTTTGAAGGCACAGGTCCTGGCTCCGGCTGGTTTTATTTCGTAGTTATTTTTAAATTACATTATGGGTAATAAATAGAATAACCAATTTGCCAAGGCTCGGCACTGTGTATATTATTTCAACTCGGGCATATTTCCCGTAGTCACTCGTACCTCGTTGGTTATTCTTAAAGTATCGCCTTGTAAAGAACTGTCGGCACCCTTGATCGTTTAGCAAAGCAGAGACAAACTGTAGCGCTTCGGTTCGAAAAATATTTTTAATGTCAAAATATAATATAGCCACCAGCAAAGGTAGACACCCACTTCCTCACAGGGTTGAGCTCTCAGATTTCCAACCTCATATTTAATAATTACTCACGTAAAATATGCTTTATTCAACATTTCAAGCGTCGCTCATGGCATATCAAATCGCTCTTCGCCTCCATTACCCCTGCCACCTTCCGGTTCAACGGAGTGAATGAACAGGGAGTTAACTCTGATTATATTTGTTGAATCACATGTGTGAAGCCCATACTTGCGAACGAAGTGTGTTTTTAATAAAAAATTTATATAGAAAATATGTTACGAAAATTCTAACAATAACTACGGCAGAAATGAAAAATATCTTCAACAGTTTAATGGTAAAATTAGGCAATATGATATTTATTAATAATTTCTGCTTATTCTTGTTACTGTTTTATAAGAATTGCAAGTGTGATGGTTGATATATACTAATTCACTCACTCACTCACTCTGCAGGGGCGTCACGAGTACCTGGATGTTGCTAACATGGCTTCAATTGAGGTGTCCTGCCAGACAACATCAGAGGACAAACCATGGTATCAGCTTGTAAGTAACGTGTTATACGAGTTATGTCATACAGTAACGTTTGCTTGTTGTTTAACGCCGCACTCAGCAATATTCCAGCTATATGGCGGCAGACAATCCAGTGATCAATATCATGAGCATCCATCTACGCAATTGGGCTACGATTTCATGTGTCAACCATGCCATCGAGCCTGACCACCCGATCCCGTTAGTCGTCTCTTACGACAAGTATGGGTTGCTGAAGATCAGTTCTAATCCGGATCTTCACGGGTATGATACAGTAAGGACCTATGTAACTGTATAATTATCTAATGGAGAATTTAAAATGGGTCAAAATACTTGCGGCTATAACGAACTCAATGGGACCGGTCAGTTCGTTATAACCTTTGTTCGTTATATTCATTGGACGAAAACATCAATAAGAGACCAACACAAAGAGACTCGCTTCCAATGGCAGATTCCCCTGGTTTTAGTCTCCTCTGGAATATCGATGTGTGGGGTAAACAACAAACAAGAATACACGAACCCAATTTCGCTGTATACGGCTTTTTTTATTTACAGCGAGGCTTCTTATCTCTTCCTGGAGGTATTTTGTATGAGATGACGCCTTATAACGGGGCTCTACGGGAGGCAGGGGGACCTGCCGACGATGCTCTGTATATCCTCAAGCCAGTGAAGCCTCTTATTGATAAACAAGCCATTGACATCACGTTGCCTTGTAAGCTTCAAGTTTCCAACAGTGTATGCGAGTGAGTGAGCGAGTGGATATGGATTTACGTCACTTTGAGCAATATTCAACCAAGATAAGCGAAAGTGACGTTAGTGTGGGGAATGAAACTCAGGTTGTAGGCGTGATGATCAAACACTTTACCAAAAAAACTAACAAACCGACCCTCAACAGGTGATGCTAAATGATATCCAAACCTGTATTCGTTTTGACTTGTTGATAATTTCGACTTGATCTGACGTCAAAAGTGAGACATTTGTTTTAATGTATCATTCGGAATCCTACAAAATGGTAAAGTGAATATATGATACAGGTTCACTTCACAAAGAACCGATTACAGTATAAACTACGGCTATAACGAACTCGAAGGGACAACAAATTTAGTTCGTTATACAAACTTAATATTTTTAGTACCTGGGACAAAATTAAAGTTAATTTTATCCGTCAGTTTCTTAAGGTTTATTATTTTTTAAAGGGGATCCTTCGTCCTTCGTCTTGTTTTCAAAACAATATTTCAGATGACGAGGAAGATAATGTTTCGGAGCAGGAGGCTGAACGGTGGACACAAGAATCTAGAAGGAAACGTTCGACTGACCAAATACACATTGATGTTGTTGCTGTCGTTGACCACTCCGTATATCGAAGGTAGTTGGTGTCTTTGCGCTACTGTTCTATGTTGAGGTCCCAGTTGAATCCTTTTACTAGTCTGAAGTGTCTTCATCAGTTTGTCAAAAGTGTATCCCTCTATCGGACAGTTGTTATGACATTGAGTCCAAAATATACATTACTGCCATCCTGTTTAAAACATGCCGTTGAGTTGACACTCACAATACACGAATTGTACATAACATGAACAGTTCCTTCATCAGTATATTTTACTGTTGTGAAATATACAACACAAAACATTGTTTGTTTGTTTGTTTGTTTGTTTTTGTAACGCTGCACTCAGAAATATTCCAGCTATATATGGAGGGGTCTGTGAATAATCGATTCTGGACCAGACAATGCAGTGATCAACAGCATGAACATCAACTTACGCAGCTGGATACGATGACATGTGTCAACCAAATCACAAGCCACTTACCACAAGCATGGGTAGCGGAAGACCAATCCTTTGTCATCTGGCATCTGTGCAACAGAAGAATGAAGTATTTGACAATGTCCTTTAGAGGTATTCTGGCCACCATGGCAATCTGATTCAAATCCATTGGTGATTGAAAATATATGTTGCCATCACGTCCTTCGCGATGACACACAATTAACAAAGCCAATGAGCATGACCACCCAATCCACTTCGTCCCCTCTTCCAAGCATTGTGTATTGGGATAAAAAATTGTACCTTTTACAGATGGTTTGCAAGGACTTCCCAGGTGTCCGAAGTCCTCAAGCATGCTGAAACAAAGGAGAACATACGACGCCATTTTGCTCATCTTGTGAATGGGGTAGGTATTAAGACGTAAGATAAGTTGCCTACAATGGTGAAAGAATCTATCTACAAGGAAAAGTAAAGGCTGTCTGTAAGCGTTAAGGGTTGATGCTCTCCTTGAGCTGCTATTAACACCGGAGTCTTTACTTAATTGTAGTCTTTACTTAAAAGTATAGGCTACCTTTGAGCTACCATCTGCAATTCGACGAAGAGCGAAGTGTCTACATAATGGTGGTCTTTATTTAAAGGTAAATGCTCCCGCTGAGGCACTACGAAGAGCTGAGCCTCTATGTCCATTTGTGAAAGCAATCTAAGTGCTGTAAGTCACACACGTTAACACAGACATACGAAGCGTTACAGTTGTATGTGAACGAGGTCCTCATCTCTGCAATTATTACCTTATTTTTACAGATTAACTTAAGGTTTAAGACTGCCTCGACATTGTACAACATACACCTGGTTGGGTATGTCATTGAGGTAAGTAATTCATCACGATAACCCATTGTTGATTGAACTGAAAAGTTCGATGTGCAATAAAATGCTCAATACTGTTTTCTCTATACAAGTTTTTTATTGAACAAAATACATTCAGTGATTTTAAAGTTTCTGAGCTTACACAAACGTTATGTAGCGATACGATGTTAACTGTAAAGTGCTGCCGTTCATGTGTGCGCGTGTGTGTGTGCGTGTGCGTGAATAAAATTTATATATATGATTTATAACCCGATGTTATATTTTGAACTGACCTATTATATCTGTTTCTGGTTCACACCGCACTCAATATGTTCAGACAATACCAAGGCGGATGTTAATAATCAGTGATGGTCCAGACAAGTGATCGACATCATGAATATGAAGCTAGGCAATCGTGATACGTTTAAAAACATTAGTTGACGATGACCACCCCTAATTTATGGTTGCTTTAAGAGGCGACAACGTGGATCTGGGGTGTCAGCTTAGTGTACGCGGTTGTTTCAGTGAAATAGTGTTTTTCCATGTGTGGATCGATGTTCATTGTATCTCAGTGATCTAGCACTATGAAACTAGCTAAAGTCTGGACTAGCACAAGCAGCTACACATACACCCGCATGTACGTCGTCGTCCTATGAGCGAAATAACCATAAGTACGACGTTAAACCCCATCTCACTTCACAACGTGTTAAAAATAGTTTCGAAACAATAATGATAATTGTTTTCGAGCATGACTGTGTTTATAATGCACGTGTTGCTCATCTCCCGTTAAATTCATTCACTCACTCACTATCACTCTCTTTCTCACTCTCCCTCTTCCCGTCTTCTCCAACTCTCTCATATATACTCAGCAGCAAAACAAACGTCAGTACGAATTCAAAATTAGATAGGCACTGTAATCAAATCATTACAGAAATGAACATAATAAGCGGATCAAAAACTTTTTTTGTGTACAATATATTGACACATCAATGAATAACTCAGCATAATTTCAAGACATTACGTGAACGTTTGCTGTCCATTCAGACTCTTGACTTCAGTATCTATTGTGACCACCACGAGCGGCAATAACTGCAGCACAGCGTCTATGCATGGAGTGCACTAATCGATTGGTACCTGGAACCACACTCTGAGAAAGGTCTGGCGCAATAAATCGGCTGTGTTCGGCCTTGGTATGACATTATTCAGTCTCCTCTGAATTTCATCCCAAATATGTTCAATTGGTTTTAAATCAGGACTAAGGGCTGGCCACTGCATAATGTTGACACCGTTCTGCTGTAGGAAGTCCCTTGTAGCTCTGGCAGTATGGGCCAGGGCGTTATCGTGCTGGAAAATGTAGTTCCAGTGACGTGCGAAATGTCGTTATTACGTGAAGTCTGAGAGCTTGGTCGATGTAGCACACCGCTGTGATGCCGCCTCCTCTCCCTGGACCAAGATTCTGGAATACCACAGGACCCACTCTCTGGTTCAGGCCTATGCCACCCCATAGCATGATGCTTGCACCTCCCTATGAGTCTCTTTCCACAACACATTGGTCTGAGTAACGCTGGCCACGTCGTCGCCATATTCTTGCTCTGCCATCTGCAGTTGATACGCAGTCCCGACTTTCATCTGTGAACAGAACAGTTCTCCGTTGCCTGTATCGCCAGTTTGGGTGTTGTAGGGCAAACTGTAGACGTTCACGCCGATGACGAGGGGTGAGGATAGGTCCACGGTAAGGTCTACGGCAATGGAGGTTCCCGCTGTTAAGACGTCGGCGTACTGTATGTATCAGTACTGATTGGTCATCCGTGTGTTCCCACTGTCTGGCGTGCTGTTTCGGATGCCTGCATGAAGGGATTCTGGCGGTCTTGTCTTGTGGTCACCCTTGATCTGACAGTACGGGGGCGATCATTTGTGGTGTTGGTGGCCGGGAAACGTTGCTGCAGTCTGTAGATGGTCCGAACGTTGACCTGGAAGTGATTGGCAACGGCTTGTGCAGTGTGGCCAGCTTCAAGTCTTCCTACTGCCTGGTTCCTCTGAGCTGTCGTGAGTCGCGACATCCTGCTGACGTTGTAATGTGAATGTTTCAACCAGGTTTGGGGGTGCATTTTATAGGGCTGGTCCTAGTGAACAGCACGTGCAGCAACAGTTGCATGAAAAACATGGAGAACACCGTACCATCTCCGAGGTCAGGTTGCGTTTATGAGATCATTTCCGGGGTTCAATTCTGAGTTTGGGAAGGAGTGCCTTTGGTCAGGTTAATTTGGAGATGTTGTCAAAAATATACAATCAAAATATTACATGAGTTTACAGTTATCCGTTTCTGCGAAGCAAAATTCCAAACTGACGTTTCTTTTGCGGTTTAGCCACTGATGCATCAATTTCGGAAATTTCCACCTCATGTTAACCATTATATTTTCTGAAAGCCTCACTAAAGTTTTGACCCGTGAAGAATTGATCTTCAGTAACCCATCCTTGTAAGAGGCAACAAACAACATCGGGTGGTCAGGCTCGCTGACTTGGTTGACACATATCATCGTATCCCAATTGCGTAGATCGATGTTCATGCCGTTGATCACTGGATCGTCAGGTCCAGACTCGATTATTTCGCCATATAGCAGGAACATTACTGAGTGCGGCGTAAAACTAAACGCACTCAGTCACTCACTCACTCACTTAAGTTTTACATATTATAAGCCTGGACAACCTTTCAGGAAGACTCGAATGAATCATCATTCTTGGAAGAACGTTCTGCAATGTGCATATCGATCGCTATACAAATTACTTAAGTTAATTAAGTCTAGACCCTCAAACATTATTTGCATTGCTTAAGGATCAAGGAAGAGGAGTCTGGTTCCAGTCAGTCTTGAACGAGGAGGATTACCCAAACAACACACAGATAGATGCTTCCAATCTGCTTCCAAGTGCTAGAGATTGGAAAAATAGCATCACAGGGTTCCCAGAGAACGACCACGTCATTGTTTTCACAGCGTAAGTTATAGTCATAGAGTTATAGTTATATACGCCATTCTTTGCTAAGGCATCTCGAGTACTAAGGCTAATTCTGATTCTGCAAATAGCTGTCGTATATCGTTTGTACCCGGTGTCCACTCTTTCCCTTCATTAACACCTGGTGTGGTCACGCTTTGATAGAAATTCAAAAACATGCTCATGATATAGTCGGAATTGTACAATCGCTTCAGATTTCTTCGCTTTTAATTCAGTCATCCATTCGTATTATTTCACCGCTATTTGGTCTTTTTAGACTGATCACCGCTATTTAGTCTTTTTAGCCTGATCACCGCTATTTGGTCTTCTTAGTCTGATCACTGCTATTTGGTCTTCTTAGTCTGATCACCACTATTTGGTCTTTTTAGTCTGATCACTGCTATTTGGTCTTCTTAGTCTGATCACCGCTATTTGGTATTTTTAGTCTGATCACCGCTATTTGATTGTCTTAACCTTATCACCGCTTTGTGATCTTCTTAGTCGGATCACTGCTATTTGATCGTCTTAGTCTGATCACCACTATTTGATCGTCTTAGTCTGATCACCACTATTTGATCGTCTTAGTCTGATCACCACTATTTGATCTTCTTAGTCTGATCACTGCTATTTGATCGTCTTAGTCTGTTTACCGCTATTTGATCTTCTAAGTCTGATCACCGCTGTTTAGTCTTGTTAGTCTGATCTCCGCTATTTAATCGTCTTAAGCTGATCACCGCTATTTGATAATAATAAAGTCAATTTCTATAACGCAATATCCACGTTGAATGACATGCTCAAAGCGCTTTGAAGTAGGTAGAGGCATGCCACCTGGAAGAGATAGGTCTTAAGTAGAGTTTTAAAAGTTGAGAAATTGTCACATGATTTCAGATTTTCTGGCAGATGGTTCCATTGGACTGCTGCTGTGTGAGAGAAAGACCGTTCGCCTTTGTTGTTGTTTTTGGAACTTGCAGCAAGTTCTTTGTCTGAGATCTCAGAGATCTATATGGAAAATATGGCTTGAGAAGCTCATGCAGATAGACTGGCGCTGTACCCTGGATGCACTGGAATGTTATACACAAGGTTTTGCATATAACCTCTCTTGTATAGGTAGCCATCGGAGTATTGGTGTTATGTGTTCTCGCTTTGGGCACATGGTTACAATTCTTACTGCTGTACACGCTGTAGTTTGTTGATTAATCCTTTGGGAGATCCCATTAGTAGAACATTGCAGTAGTCCAGACGGGACAATATTAATGACCTCATCAGCTTGATTGTAGCATCCTTTGAGATCAGCTTGCGGATCTTGCTGATGTTACGGATGTACATGTAACACGTCTTGGCTAGTTGATTTACATGCTTCTCCATTGACAGTTCGTTGTCAAGAGTGGCACCAAGGTCTTTGACTGCAGCACTGAGAGTGATCTCGTTGCTTCCTACTCTACTCTGATGTTGGTAAGATTGGTCTTATCGCGTCTGTTCTTCGGGCCAATAAGAATTGATTCGCTTTTTACCTCGTTGAGCATGAGCATATTTATGTTCATCCAGGTTTTCACGCTCTGGCAACAATCAGTGGTTGTATCCACGGCTACTTTGGCGTCAGCATGAGTTGGCTTGACAAGTGTGTGCACTTGGGAATCATCTGCATAAAAGTGGCGAAAAAGGTTATGATTTTTGTTTGATAGAACCCAATGGTGTCATGTAGAGAGTAAATAACTGGGGTCCAAGAACAGATCCTTGGGGCACGCCATATTTCAGCATCGTGGGTTCTGTCAAGGTGCCATCAATGGACACACTTTGAGATCGATTCTGAAGGTAGGACTGGAACCAGTGGAGTGCTGTGTCACCTATGCCCATTTCATGCTAGAGTCGATGAAGCAGTTTGTGGTGGTCGATGGTGACGAAGGCGGCCCAATATTTCCACTATCTACTCCACGGTGTAAATAAACAACAACTCGCAAGAGTGCAGTTTCAGTGCTATGGTGGAATCTGTAAGCAGATTGGAATTTTTCTTGTAGACAGTGACTTGAGATGTGATCGTTTAGACGCTGTGATACTGCTTTTTCAATAAGTTTAGAAACAAATGATAGGTTCGAAACTGGTCTGTAGTTTTTAAGACTGTCCGTGTCGAGTTCTGACTTCTTAAGCTGGGGCTTGACTAGAGCTTTCTTCATGGCAAGGGGGACTACTCCCCTGGTAATACAGGTGTTGACAAGCCCTCTCATGACTGGCAGCATGATGTCTGTGTTTTCACAAAAGAGGGTTGTTGGTATTGGGTCCAAGTCACATGTCGTCTTGTTTGCGCTTTTGAGAAGATTTAGAATTTCACCATCCGTGAAGGGTTTCAGATCTGTCAGTTTCACTCCTTGAAAGACTTCTACTATGTCATCACTGGCATCGCTAGAGGGTATAAATCTCTTGCGAATTCTATGAATCTTTCTTACAAAATATGCTGAAAATGACTGTGCAATGTCCTGATTGCTGCCTGTTGAAGGCGGTGTTTTATCTGGAACCTTTCCAATTAGGTAAAACAGGAGTCTATACAGAGTTTGGGGGGCTGGAGGACGAGTCGGTGATCTTCGCCATGATGTAATCTTTCATAGCATGTCTGATCATATCCGTCACATTTTCCCTCTCTTGCACATAAAGTTCTGACTTCCTCCCTCGTCTTAGTCTGATCACCGCTATTTATTCTTCTTAACCTGATCACCACTTTGATCTTCCTAGAGTGATTATCGCTATTTGGTCTTCTTAGTGTGATCACTACTATTTGATCCTTTTAGCCTCATCACCCCTATCTGATCGCCTTAACCTGATCACAGCAATTTGATCTTCTTAGATTGATCACCGCTATTTAATCTTCTTAGTCTGATTACTGCTATTTGATCATTTTAGCCTGATCACCGCTATTTGATCTTCTCGGTCTGGTCACCGCTATTTGATCTTCTTAGTCCGATTACAGCTATTTTATCATTTTAGCCTGATAACCGCTATTTGATTTTCTTAGGCTGATCACCGCTATTTGATCTTTTTAGCCTGATCACCGCTATTTGATCTTTTTTTGCCTGATCACCACTATTTGATCATTTTAACTTGATCACCGTTATTTGATCTTCTTAGTCTGATTACAGCTATTTGATCTTCTAAGTCTGATCACCGCTATTTTATCCTTTCACCTGATCACCACTATTTGATCTTCTTAGTTTGATCACCGCTATTTGAACTTCGTAGTCTGATCACCGTTGTTTGATCTTTTTAGCCTGATCACCGCTATTTCATCATTTTAGCCTGATCACCGCTATTTGATCTTCTTAGTTTGATCATCGCTATTTGATCTTCTTAGTTTGATCACCGCTATTTGATCTTTTTTTGATCTGATCACCGCTCTTTTAATTTCTTAGTTTGATCACTGTTATTTGATCTTTTTAGTCTGATCACCACTATTGATCATTTTAGCCTGTTCACCCCTATTTGATCTTCTCAGTCTGATCACCACTATTTGATCTTCTTAGTTTGATCACCGCTTTTTTATCTTCTTAGTTTGTTCACCGCTATTTCATCTTCTCAGTCTAATCACCGCGTTTTGATCTTTTTAGTTTGATCACCGCGTTTTGAACTTCTTTGTTTGATCACCACTATTTGATCGTTTTAGCCTGATCACCGCTATTTGATCTACTTAGTCTGGTCAGCGCTATTTGGTCTTTTCAGTCAGATAACCGCTATGGGGAATCTTAGCCATGATCATGACATAGTCGTAATTTTAGCTTTAAGCAGGGAAATTTCACATGGATGTAGAAAGAGTTTTTCGTGTTTCTTTCAGTAGTCCAATAGTATTATTTCATCACTAGTTATTCTTCTGAGCCCTATGAAACTTGTTAAAGATATCCAGATCTTAGCCGACTACTATCCAACATAATATAGCCGTACTGAACGTTAAATAATATTCACTCACTCAAGATTTCTAGCAAGTGATGTTTCCATAATTATTCTGTTTTCACATGACTCTTCCTCTGACAATTAAGAAGAAAATAGCAAAAAGTAATCAGATTTTGAAATTTGTGTCGTTGTCCGTGTCTGTTCATTGTTTCTGTGTATTTCGTCTGTGTATGTTTCAATTCCTATGTTTTAGGTATGATTTGTACAGGATGGATGCTAACGTAACTAAAAACCTGCTGGGTAAGTTCTGTTGATGGGGATTGTCTTCGCCTGCTTCTGTTGCTGCTTATCGTGCACAGGTATTTGAACTGATGCCATATTGGCTGCATCACACGTGGAGATTTGGGACGCTGAGTCCCTGTGAAGATCCATGTCAGAATTAATCTTCAACAACCCATGCTTGTCGTAAGAGGCGACTGACTGAATCTTAATGTATCCGACCCATGAAGATCCGGGTTCGAATTGGTCTTCAACAACCCATGCTTGTCTCACCCCGTGAAGATCCGGGTTCGAATTGGTCTTCAACAAGCCATGCTTGTCTCACCCGTGAATATCCATGCTTGTCGTAAGAAGTGACGGATCGGGTGGTCAGGCTCACTTATTGGTTGACACATGTCATTGTATCTCAATTGCGTAGATCGATGCTCATGCTGTTGATCACTGGATTATCTGGCTAAACTTCAAACAACAAGGGATATTGAAAACAGATCTTCGGCATCAAGTTGTCATTAGGACTCTGCGGGTCGTCTCCGGTGACGTTGTTGTTCCCAGATGAAGACGTTGTTCATGCTTTCAGATAATTCAGATGTTTGATAGGCATTTAGAAGTTGGTAGGGTAATGCAACACACTTGATATGGATGTACAACTTCTTTATTATTTACACACAACGTTTCTGGGCTAATACTTGCCCTTCATCAGGCAAGTATTAGCCCAGAAACGTCGTGTAAATAAAAAAGTAGTTGCACATCCATATCAAGTGTGTTGTATTTCAGAAAATTGTTTTTCTTCCAATTTACTGCGGACCAAATATAGGTGGCATATTGCGAACTGCGGAGTTAAACACAATTCAGTCGTTCATTGACTCACTCACTGGCTCATTCACATTCTGACATTATAATTAATTATTATTATGATGATGGCTATGTCTGTCGACTGTTTGACCTTGACCTCCCCGAGCAACATCTCTGCAAGAAGACTTTTCCTTTTCTTCAGGTTTTGCATACGTTGGATTCCTTTTCTTCAGGTTTTGCATACGTTGGAACTATCTGTGACAAGCCAGGCCACAGCATATCACTAGTGGAGTATACCGACATTCTGGTGGATGATCTTCTGGTGACAGCTCACGAAATGGGACATGCGTACGTAGACGTTTGGAGTGAGTGAGTGAATGAGTGAGGGAGTGTAAGGCAAGTCTCCTGTAACAATAGATGTCCAGTCACTCACTCATTCTTCACCTAACACCCAACCACCCTCTCATTCAATCACTCACCCTACCGCTCACCCGTCCTGGCATCGACCCACCCACTGACTCAGTGACTCACTACACAGCACACTCACCACCAACTCACTCACTCTCCTCAAACCCTTTCACTCACTCTTTCACCCACCTTCTCTTTCACAATTCATCTCGACTACTCATTCACCATAAGACCGATCCCACCACCCACCAACTAACTCACTCACCTACTCGCTCACCCACTAACCCACTCACCCACCCACTCACTCACTCACGCCCGACCATGTACTCACTCACTCAAACTCACCCGCCCATGCACTCTCTCACTCACTCACTCACACTTACACTCACGTGTATGTTTACAGACTAAGTGCACGGCATGACGGGGAATACAACAACACGTGTTCTGGGACTGACGCCTACATCATGAGCAGCAGCTACTCAGCACATCATAGCGTCAGCATAACGAATTACTTCCTGTTTTCTAACTGCTCCATCCGCTATTTCCAGACCTTCCTGGACCAAGTGTTAGCAGCAGGGTAAGAAACATTTACTGATATCTACTTTGAAAGTCGAGATCTGCACTTTTGGATGGTAAAGCTGTTGGCTATGACAAGCGCTGCCATAAGCTAAGTGAGTGAGTTTAGTTTTACGCCGTAGTCAGCAATAGTCCAGCTATATGGCGGCGGTCTGTAAATATTCCAGTCTGGACCAGACAATCCAGTGATGACATGTGTCAACCAGGTCAGCGAGCCTGACCACCCGATCCCGTTAGTTACGACTAGGATGGATTACTGAAGATCATTTCTAAGCCGGATCTTCACGGGTGTTTCTTATGACCATGCTATGCTGCTTTTTTGGATGCTGGATTCAAACTGGCCCCAAGCAGCCAATGCTGGTCGTTCGATGCTATTAAAAGGACAGAGTCCATCGCGATGGATGCTGGTCAAGACTTGACCATTCCCGGGCCGTAGCTATGCAGCAGAGTTCATTGTAAAGCAGCGGAGCTCATTGTAAAGCAGCAGAGTTCATTGTAAAGCAGCAGAGTTCATTGTAAAGCAGCAGAGTTCATTGTAAAGCAGCAGAGTTCATTGTAAAGCAGCAGAGTTCACATTGTAAAGCAGCAGAGTTCATTGTAAAGCAGCAGAGTTCACATTGTAAAGCAGCAGAGTTCATTGTAAAGCAGCAGAGTTCACATTGTAAAGCAGCAGAGTTCATTGTAAAGCAGCTGAGTTCATTGTAAAGCAGCAGAGTTCATTGTAAAGCAGCAGAGGTCATTGTAAAGCAGCAGAGTTCACATTGTAAAGCAGCAGAGTTCATTGTAAAGCAGCAGAGTTCATTGTAAAGCAGCAGAGTTCATTGTAAAGCAGCAGAGGTCATTGTAAAGCAACAGAGTTTACATTGTAAAGCAGCAGAGTTCATTGTAAAGCAGCAGAGTTCATTGTAAAGCAGCAGAGTTCATTGTAAAGCAGCAGAGTTCACATTGTAAAGCAACAGAGTTCATTGTAAAGCAGCAGACAAAAAACAAAAATAAAAACGACCTGATAAAAAATGTAATATGTTTTACTATGTTTAACAAAAAGATATTCTTTCCACAGTGATACCACTTCCAGGAGCTGCCTCCTGGAATCTCTAGAACCGGCGTCTGTGACGAACGTCACCGGTGAATGGCCTGGTCAGCTATACAACGTAAACGAGCAGTGTCAGATGAAATATGGCCCCACTTCCTATATGTGCTTGGTACGTATCGAAAGTGGACAATCCGGATTTGAAGTGGTACACGGAACCTACAAATTTGTTGATTGGTTGGATTTCAGTGAGTGTGTGTCATCGTGACTCACGAGTAGCTCGCTCCCATCCCATGAGCGGCTTCCTTCACGGGTTATCCAACATATTTCGTTGTTTTATGCCGCACTCGGCAATATTCCATCTGTTCATAAGCTGTATGCAAATAGTCGCGTTTGAACCAGACAATCCTGTGAATGGTATGATGAGCATCAACCAAGTCAGCGAGTCTGATCACCCAATACCACCAGGAGTCTCGTACGTCAAGCAGGCTTTCTGAAGACCAATTCTGACCCAGATCTTCACAGCTTCAAACATTCATGAAGCATACCTTGAAAAAAGGCACTTTTTTATTGTCGTTTTAAAGTTTAACGTTAACTTCGCGACGTAGCCCCAATGTACATATTTTTAATGGAATACTGATTTTATGAATTTATATAATTTCATTATCTGGAATAAGCAATATGTCCAAATCGGTAAAACCTTCTTATGCTAAAGTTCGAAATGGAAGATACTAGTGTCATCTTTGGATGTTTTTCCAGGGTGTGAACTCTAGCGTCAGTGTTTGTAAGAGGCTCTACTGTTACCTTCCTGATCGGCCGGGATTCTGCAGGAGCATCAACGCCGTGGACGGTACAACGTGTGGCAACAGACAGGTAGGTGGAGGTTTCCGTTCTGCTGTAAAGTCAGGATAGATGGCTTCAGTGTTCTTTGTTTGTTTACGTGTTTAACTCAACAATATTCCGGCTATATGACGTCGGTCTGTCGATAATCAATTCTGGACTAGACAATCCAGTGATTGACATCATGATCAATGCTCTACGCAGTTGGGATACGATGACGTGTTATCAAAGTCAGAAAGTCTGACCATCCGATTCTCGCCTCTTACGACAAGCATCGGTTGCTAACACGGTTCTCCATGTAATGTGAAAAATATTCAGGCAAAATACATACTGATATTCCATTGAAATGATGAATCTCCCACATATATATGACACCGCTTAATCATCCTGTACATTTCTAAATTTATTACAGTGGTGTGTTTCTGGAGAGTGTGTGTCCTCAGTTGATGCCCCTGAACAAGACCGTAAGCATCGATGTTACGCTTTCATGTAATCTGTAATTTAGATGTAAGCATATCTTGAAACCTTCATCCTTATAAAATAATTTGTGATTACTTGTAGCCGATGCTATTTGTTTAACATACAAACTCTTACCTGTTTTGTTACGTGTCAAACAATATAAACTAACGGGCAAAAGAAACGATACCAAGTCGAAATCACTGATATTACAAAACGACAAACCACCATTGTGAAAAAGGACAGTGAATTGTAATAACAGGTGTATGGGCAACATGCACTCAGTCATTTCATTGTAGTAGCAACAATAACACGTCCATTGAATCACTATATAAGTGAAGGAGTGAAGTCTCCAGTATTCGATCACAGATGTAAACAAAACAACACACGTGGCCCTTATCTGGTATGCCCACATCGGACGCCGTATACCTTGGGCAAGGACCGTTCGCCATTCCTCTTGAATGGCTTGGACAAGCTGACGTCGGTTTCCAGGAACAACGGCCTTAGCACGAATCTGACGATCCAAATGGTCCCACAAGTGTTCAATTGTTGACATGTCAGGTGACCTGGAGGGCCAAGGAAGTAAACTGACGTTGTTTCTCTGTAGAAAATCCATGACAATACGTGATGTTTGAGGACGGGCGTTGTCCTGCTGGAACATGATCCGGTTAGGGCGTTGACGTAGGAATGGTAGCCAGACACAGAATTTGATGAATGTATCGTTGAGCAGTGAGACTAACATCCACCACAACAAGATCTGTCATAATAGCGTCACATATCCCGACAAAACCATAACACTACCATCACCGAACGGTTCCACTTCCTGCAACGCTGCACACGTTCTCAAGGGCGTCTGTAGACACGAGGCCTGCCATCATTCCTGAACAGCTGGAACCTGCTTTCGTCTGAGAAGATCACTCTTTGACACTGTCTGTTTTGCCACTGGCGAACCGTGCGTGCCCCTGCGAAGACGTTGACGTCGATGTTGAAGCGTCAACCGTACACCACGGTGGGGTCTTTAGGCACAGATACCGTATTGTCTGCTGTTGTTCGTCGACTGATAGGATGTTCAAGCTCAGTCGCAGCTGATGACGTCACAGATGGGAAACGGTTTCTCAGGTGCAGGATACGTAAGTAGGGTCTCCGTTGGGGTTGGTGACGCGAGGTCTTCTACTTCCGGTCCTGTCTACTGCCCGCCCTGTTTGCCTGTAGCGGGTCATCAGCCTCGTGATGGTTAGACGGTACAGCCCAAGGTCGCTGCATCATGTGCATGAGTGGCACCCATCTGTACCATTCCAAAGGCTCTCTCTCTCTGGATTCCAGCGATAATCGAGGCATGGTCGCTGAAGTTGACTTGATGGTCTGATGTCGTGGAAGGTTTGTGTACGCTCTTATACCCCAAAGATGCACGTGCTTCATGCAATCCGTTCACGTGATTCTCGTGCTTCACGACCTGTTGCAGTGATACTATTCGCCCAAACACAACATTTTCATGACAAATGTTAGGGAGCGCTGTGGCGATTGTTTTAAGCTCATAGCTTCCTACAAAATTTGACTTAGAGTCCCAATTATCAAAAATCAAATCGTTTCTTTTGCCAGTTAGTTTAGATCCATGAAGCTTCAAATCCCAATACCATTCTAGAAAAATAATGTTTCGAAGAAAACTAAGTTCCTAAATGTCTGTAAAATATATTCCTTCAAATCTATAACTGATAAGAAATACGCAGAAGCATGTGTTTACCGCAGGAGTTACAGAAGCACCCCAAATGCTGTCGAACTGCAAACATGGTATGCTACAAAACTTCAAATAATCTGAAACATTTTACATTTTCGGTGGCCTGCCCATTTGGGGATCAACACTCACATCAAAACATGAGCTGTCCTGAGCTTGTCAGTCCTGCTACTAAGCATCTCTGCTATAGAGAGTTTTACTCTGTGTTAATCTGCTGTGACACGTGTCGGCGTCATAAAGGAAATGATTTAGGTAGAAATAAACAGATGCAAAGAAAGACCCACATTCATTTCAGTACAACCTTTGTAAACTGTCACGAAGACAACATTATTATGGATAAAACCGTAATCTTGTTTGAAGCGACTTTTCACGGCCATCTTGTCCTTTAAAGGCGTTAATGCTTCATCGAACAATCACAAGCTTCAACAATAACTTGCCATGAATGAAAGCGTCAAAACGTTCATCATGTTCATAAGTATAAGAACCCCTTGCTTAAAGTGTGTTCTTTAGCTGTGTCTGTGTCAAGAGAATGTGTGTACTTGTGGTCAGATCATGATAGCCTCTAAATGTCAACCATAGAGTCTTGGAGAGGCTGATTCTTGTATAACTGTTCTTCTACAAATCACACATGGATGTTATCACTCAGAATTAATTCCTAGTTAGCGTCAAAAGACGTGTTCAGGACGTCCTGACGAACACGTCTTTTGACGTTAACTAGGAAATAATTCTGAGTCTACGTGATACCATCCTCACGGATCATGGTAGTTTGTCTTGAAATAACGAGGTGACAAATAACATAAGACTGTGTGTTATGGTGTGATATGGTGTTTTTGGTGACACTTTCTTAACCAACAGTGAACGTGCCATCAGGTCTAGCAATATTCCAACAGCTCCAATCTTGTGTGTTTACAGTTGTCAGCTTTTGAGGTACATTTTTTCTCCAAAATTTCAAAGAACGTCATACGACGTTGTTCGATCAAGGTTACAACATTCAAGACCTCAGTGAAGATTTCGAAACGTTTTACAGACACATAGAAGGACATTTCACAATCTGGCATTTGGATATTCATAAACATTGACAAAAATGGTATTCGATGGAAACTCCCACTTTGACTTCTGTCATGCATTCACGATTGTGTTTGCTGTAAACATTTGACTAACCTTGGCATATGTTTTTGACGAGTAGGGGCAGGATAAGTTCACCCTTTCGCAAAAAACTGGTATTTTGATCATTTTCATAGGGGCGATGCGGTGGCCGAGTGGTAAGGCGTCCGCTCGTCACTGACGTCTCGGGTCCGATGTCCCACATGGGTACAGTGTGTGAAGACGATTTCTGGAATATTGCCGCAATCATAATAACGCGGAGAGGGACACCGGAAATGGGCTTCACACCAGGCACCCATACGGAATCGAAACCGACGTGACGAGTAAAGACGTTAACCACTGGGCTACCTTGATAGATAACTCGTTAAAATTGCCATGCCTAAAAGTCATGATCTACTAGCGTGGTACAAAGAAGCATTATCCTGAATAACAAATTGTCAGTTCCTGCTTCAGCATTTTGTTGCACATTTTACTTGTTTTGATCAAATGGACTTGTAAAGGCCTCGTTAAGTATTTAGTTTAATGTGCTCATGTTCGTCTGAGTTCATTGCTCTTTAAATGTCTTTATTTGAACGAGACATCCATTTGGTAATGACGTTTTATCTGGCCTTTGGGTTTTTGACTAAGTATACTTTTTCATGCTGAACGTCTCTCTAATGAAAGATATAATTTCATTGACAAACTGCTCATTGTATGTAACACAACCTGAAAATAATGTAGGCAAAATGCAAACTTAATGTGTGTGAGTGTTTTTCAGTAAATTGATTTTTTGACTCCCACCAACAACGCTTCTGTAAAGCTTTAAAATTTTCAAGGTAGATATGTGGAAAACTGTTCTCAAAGTGGCCATCGGGGACTAAAATGACTTTGGATTCAAGTGCCTCTTTTGACTTGTATTATATGTCATTCATTTTGGTGAACAACTGACTAGCCTTTCCATTTGTTTATGACGGTGTCACCGGTGGGGCAGGATACGCTCCTTTTGTCGAGTACTCGCTGTTATCATTAATTGATGATAATTCATACACGCTCCTTATATAGTTGGAAACGAATATCGACTGATTTCAGCAGAAATTTCTTGGAAGGCGTTTTGTCAATTTTAGTCACGCTCACCGACTTTTACACTCAATTTGACACTCCGAAAACCTGTGATCGGTTTCGTTCATAATATGTTTCCGGGTTTGTTAGCACAGCAACTGCGGTAAACTTCGGATACCTGCAACATTCAGAGCAGCCTAAAACCCAACTCCCTCACTCACTTTCACATCTGAGCTTACCTTCTTTAGTTGTTTATATTGCGTAACGAATTCTGAAAGTTCATCAAAAGCACCACGGTTTGGTGCGGGGTAACAGTTTTACCCATACTCTGCAGAGAACAGTTCATACGGAGATCGCATTGACACTTGTGCCATATAATTCATCCTCGATAATCTCCAGGGTATTCGTTCCCATAAATCTCCACTGGTCCGCTTGATGCATCTTCCGTGCGATTATTGTATTACCTGCCTTTGCTGGCTTTTTATCCAATCGGTTGAGCGTAGATCAATCACAAGGGTTCTATATCTCTCACTTCCGCTTTTTTTATCTAACCAATTAAACTTTGCAACACAATTGTTGCAGAAGTACCATGAAAGAGGTAAAAAAAGTTCTTGCATATATTTTTCAGGTTTATATATAGTTTCAGACCTGTCAATTAGTCTCTACGTTTTGTTCCCAAAATCTGTGTCGCACAGCGAGCAAACGTTCGTGGCTGCAGCCATCATCTTTGTTGACACTGGCAAGCTCGGTTGTAAAGGCTTACCTGGTTGGCTCCTGTGAGACGGCGGAGCCAGCAAGAGGAGTTAATACAATTATCGGGCCGAGTCGTAGATGCATCCAGGGTGCAAGTGGAGATTTTATTGAAATGTATACCCTGGAGATTATCGAGGATGCTAATAATCCATCGGAGGAGAAGAACTTATGCTAAGTCCAGAACAACCACAACCTCTGTTGTGCGACATGCGAGTCTAGGTATAATCAATTTCCTTTGTGCGTTGTCTTGAACGTGCTCGCTCCAATACATGTGTCACCTAAAGTTTTAATTTTCTGAACTGTTTTGCACAACAAAACAAAACACGTTAATTTGATGTTTGGAGGCATGGAAATTTGGATTCAGTACAACTGACTGACTGACTGAGTTTAGTTTTACGCCGTTTTTAGCAATATTCCAGCAATATGACGGCGGGAGACACCAGAAATGTGCTTAACACATAGTGCCCATGTGGGGAATCGAACCCGGGTCTTCGGCGTGACGAGCCAACGCTTTAACCACTAGGCTACCCCACCGCCCCTGATTCAGTACAAAGGTAATGAATATCATTTTAACCAGGAAAATGGGCTTTAATGATGTACCCTCTTAGCATCATCACACATTCATGCAGTGCTCTGAAAGGCCAGGTTACCCTTGTACAAAGCTGTCTTAGCGCTAAGGTGATCGTAACTCTCGTATCTTAGCATAAACTGACGACATACATAAGGTTAAGGTTGTTTTGTACAGTGGCACCTAGGTCACCAACTGATTCACTGATTCGTTGACAACAGAGAACTGTCCATACGGAGACCGCATTGAAACCTGTGCCATGGATATTCCACCACAGAGGAAGAACTTATGCTACAACGAGAATAATTACAACCTCTGTTGTGAGACATGTGCCTCCTACAAGGGCGACGAAGGTACTTTAGATATTTCTTGGAATGTAGAGTCTGAAACATTTAGGCAATACTCAGATGTAAAGGTTGGTTGTGCCACGGTGACCTTGGCTGATGTTCTTAATATCGACCACTGGTATGTCTGGTCTTTATTGATTATTCAGATGTGAAGTTGAGTCGAACTTTCAGAAAGTGGGAATGTTAATTACAATTACCCTTTTCGCGAACACCTGGTGGTATCAATTATTTTCAGTCATCCATTCATTTAATTGTAACTGGTATTTTCCACTTCACAACAATGGGAATTCGTGTCTGAGGACATTTAACACTGGTTATTCTTCTGTTCTGACGTTCTATATTATGTTATTAGTTTGTTATTAAGAGTGTATGTATTTGTCCTATTTTCTAGGCTGTGAGTATGGAGATGACGAACGGAATAGGCTGTGTTCCCTGGAAAGATGTGACCCGTCTGATATCACCTACATCAACACTTGCTGTGCTACCTGTAGCACATTAACACCCACAACCTCTACACTCACATCCACGCCCACATCCACAACCACAACCTCAACTCCTACGTCCACATCCACAACTTCAACACCTACACCTACGTCCACATCCACAACCTCAACACCTGCACACGTCCACGTCAACATCCACAACCTCAACACCTACACCAACGTCTACATCCACAACCTCAACACCTACACCTACGTCCACATCCACAACCTCAACACCTACACCAACGTCTACATCCACAACCTCAACACCTACACCAACGTCTACATCCACAACCTCAACACCTACACCTACGTCCACATCCACAACCTCAACACCTACACCCACGTCAACATCCACAACCTCAACACCTGCATCCACGTCAACATCCACGACCACAACCTCAACACCTACACCAACGCCTACAGCGACAACTTCAACACCTACACCAACGTCTACATCGACAACCTCAACACCTACGTCCACAACTTCAACCTCGACATCTACACCTACGTCCACAACCACAACCTCAACACGTACAACTACGTCCCCGTCTACAACATCATCATCAGTACCAACATCAACTGCATACACAACATCGCCTTCAACAACTACTCCCGTTACAGAAACACCGACCTCCAGCAGTGGTATGTATGGTCTTTTCCTGCAAATGACAATATTATGAAACACATTATAGGTTTGAAACGAATAGTTATTTTTTCACAGAAGGTCTGAGTAAGAGTACCACTAAGAGGTGTGAATAGCATGAACTCTACTGTTCGATTTCTCCTCAAAGTTTGTCTCAATATCCAGAACTGAAATGAGTCTTTCTGAATATTTCATGACAGTAAAACCAATAGACACGTTGTCATCCTTTATTTCTTTGTCATAGTTATTTACATGTTGTTCTGCCTTCTGTTCCGTGACGTACATAGCTTCATGCATGACGTACCTATATCTTCCTTGTATGACGTGCATGTCTCACAACAGAGGTTGTAGTTATTCTCGTTGTAGCACAAGGTCTTACTCTGGGGTGGAATATTTATGACACAGGTGTCAATACGGTCTCCGTATGAACAGGCTTGTTATACGTCATGTGGAAGGATTTGTCACTTTGCTAGTGGCAGTGAAGTCCTGTAGTGGTGCTTGCAGTACTAAGTACGCAGAGGCGTCAGCAGAGTAGATTGAAGAGTAGACACAAGTACGATTTCACTAGACGGATGATCTTACTCCCATGGTGTGAAATGTTGTCTTATCGTGTGAAATCGCAGAAAGATCAAATTCATTATACATTTAGCATATAATAATTGATTAACTAACTAGGGTCCGGTTATTCAAAACGCTGTTACTTTAACGTACCGTTAAACACTAACGACCCGTTAAATAGCTTACGAAAAGTTAGTTAACAGTACGTTACAAATGTGGTTGCTGGAAGGTACTTTTAACAGGCCGTGAACTAATGGTATGATTAGAGGTTAACAACCTGTTAAGGACCTAACCATTACCCACAATTCCTTGCACACTGTCCCATGATTTCCTGTCATAACGGCATCGCTACCAGAAGCACATGAAACGATGACCACCGTAACCTCTGACTATAAGAAACGAAATAGAAGTTAAGATTTCAGCGCGGAAGAAGAGAATGTCATTCAGGCAACGTTCCAGGAAAATGCTAAGATTCTTAGTAAAGCATTCAGCCATAAGGTGACCAATAAGACCAAGGCTGCAATCTGACAAAAAAATAACTGATGCTGTAAACAGCAAAGGCGTATGCTGCCGTACTGTAGATCAGGTAAAGGAAAATGGGAAACATGGCCCAAAAAAGCAAAAAAGACATTCTGCGATTACAGGGTGCAGCAAAGGAAGACGGGAGGAAGGGTCCCGCCTCCAGAGATGAGCTGCCATTATAGAGTCTATGAAGGATACAGCCTCTTTCAGCGGCGTTCCTGGAGGGGTGGAAACTGAAATAGGTTCATGTAGTAAGAAATAAGAGGCCTTAACATAATCAGATGTTGGTGTAACGATATATTCTGGCAATTGACAATATTTTTAACAAAGTAGTGTCTGCTTTTCCTGGCATGAAATGTGCAAATTCGATGTTTAGTACCATTATGTGTTTAAATAAACCCTCCTTGTGACGGAAAACGTTGGTTTTCTAAATTAATCTGGTCAACTAAACGTGATGACACTTTTTGTCAAAAATGTAAAACTGAGGAATTAAACGTGAAACAATTATTTCTAAGGATGAACTGAAGAACTAAATATGATAACACTTATGGGTAAAAAAACGAATGTGTGAAGAACTTACTAAATATGTTAACGTTTGAGTTAATGAAGTTTGAAGAATTTAACTAAATTTACTAACTCCTAATATCTAAATTCTCACTCTATTAATGTTCAAAACCCGACAAATACTAAAAAAATCTAACCTCTAACTTTCTTTACTAACTAAACCCCACTGATTATCTAAGCTAATTTATGAATGTCTAACAACTGATTGATTTTCTAACCTGACAGTCCATGCAGGTAGCAAAGGTACTGTAAGTTCCCATGGTCCCTAGTTTGGTGATCTACCTCCAGTTGTTGGCGATCTGTAGCCTGTTTTATATTGTATTGTCCAAATAGAGCTATTAGTTATTTTAACCTTCCACGCTAGTTTTAATTCTAATTGTGATATTCTAGTTGTTTTACTGTCCTTTGACGACAGATTTATATGATATACACATGTTCCATTTCAATGTCAAATATATTCTCGTCACGATATGGCTGAAATATTGCCGATGTGACGTTAATTTGTAACTCACTCACTCACTTAAGCCTAACAACTAACCCTAAATCTACGTCTGGTATCCGCGATGTTGAAAACCGAATTAAACTTCTACCATATGAAATGAGCGTGTCTAGTTCACTCGCAGGAAATTTCATGCAGTCAGTGTCTGTGGATTTTCAACTCCGCGAAGTAGGTGCGTTTCCATAAATATTTCTTAAATTACATAAACACTAACTGAACGAAATGCATTGAGTGAAGTCTCCCGAATACTCCTATATCTTGTCTTTCTCGTGTACGGTTGGCCACTTGATAAACTGATGCCACTTTCTAACAAGAGCATCGCACACTCTATCAACAGTCCTCGAAACTGTACTCTTATCAAGGCCAACCGTGTCTCCCACAACCCGTCGGAAACTACCGCTGGCCAAGAACTTCAAGGTGACTAGCACCTGCATCTCTACAGTGAGAGCATGATTCCTTCTTGTGTCTCTCCCCACATCATCACGAACCAAAGACATTATGAAATCGGTATCTTTGGTGTTATTCCACTTCATTAAACTCAACAGCAAAAATTCTGAATTCCTTAGGTTTTCTTTGTGGTGTAATGTTCATGAATGCTGCATTACGCTGGACAACAAACGCCATGTTGTCACCATGCAGCTAGACCTAGAACTGATGCTAATGGTAACGTTAGTGAGCTAATGTACCCCTTACGTTAAGTTAACGTGGGCCGTTTAAAGGTTGGCGCGCTTTGAGCAACACGCTTTCACTCTCTTAACGTTAAAGTCTAGTTAACGGTCTGTTAAAATTTAACAGGCTTTTAAACAACCGGTCCCATGCAAACAACGTTAGTGACGGTAACAAAACAGGTCCATGTTGACAAAAGAACTACGTCTTAATGAAGATAATAGCTAGTACATCTTTTGGTTTCATGTATAAGAACGAGATGAAAGCTACTTTGAAGACGAGTCTATTAGTTACAAAGATTGTCTTGAATGTGATTATTACATCCAGTTCAGCAATGCGCCGGATCGAGTTTTCTACAAATTTTACTGCGACATTTTACAGCAATGTGACATGCCGCAATTGTATTACAACTCTCCCGTGTAAGCTTGTTGATCTATGTCTGTCTGTTTCAGGACTGGCGACTCATGGTAAGATGGCAGAAGTTGGTAGATTGGCTGTCCTTCTTTCTCTCCTTGCCATCAGCCTCTGGTATGTGTAAAACAATAGCTTGTACAAGAGTGATGAGTTCAGTTTTCAGACGCTTTTAGCTATTATCCAGCAATATCACGACTGCGGACATCAGATATCGGCTTAACATATTGTACTCGTACTTACGTGAGGAATCGAACCTGGGCCTTTGGCGTGAGGAGCAAACGCTTTAATCACTGGCACACACCAACGCCTAATAATCCTTTGAACTATTTAATAAATTGTCGAAAGCTGTAACATATGTAGCAAAAAATAAGTTAGATTTATATCAGTCTTCCACTAGTAGGAACTACATCTTATAACTGAACAAATTAACATTTTCACATTTTGGGTCATCGTTGGTTTTCAGTGATCTACTAGTTTCCCTTTTGTCAGAATGGGCAGATGTTCAAGACGTTGACGTTCTTTACACATGGCATGAGTCCCAACACTGTAAAGCCCAGTTTTATTTGTTGATGGATTATGAATATGATTGTTATTTTGATTATCACGCAGATGCAAAGGAAAGGGAAAGAACTACAACAAACTCCACTGTCACGTAACCCAGACTACACCCTACCACCTTTGGGTTCATGGAAAACAGTTTAGATTTGGATCAATATATGGCTTCGAGAAAAGTGACAATCGGATCCTGCAAGGACTAAGGGACTCAACTCTTTACACCAAGCCTGATGTTCGTGCAGAGAGACTGACATGCCTAGCTTTTAACTATAACCGTCGAACACAAATACTATGAGTGCATGCTTCCGTTGCATGTGTGTTTGTGTTTGTGTGTGTGTGTGTGTGTGTGTGTGTGTGTGTGTGTGTGTGTGTGTGTGTGTGTGTGTGTGTGTGTGTGTGTGTGTGTGTGTGTGTGTGTGTGTATGTGTGTGTGTGTTCGTACTCGAAATGTTAATGCATCATAATGTATCGTCTTGTTACATATTTTAGCTGTAAAAATAGATGCTGTTCAAACAATATAAACCTGAAGGCTGCTTCTCACTACATATTAGACAGGGCTTCTTTTCCCGTAATAACCGCATTTGAGGTGTTTGTTTGCTCCCAGGTTTTACTTTTGTAAGTAAGACCTCTTCCCAGGTTTTACTTTTTCCCAACTCTATATTAACATCAACATTCAAATTATATGTTAGTGTTTGAAATCAATTGAAAAATATCGTGAAAGATCAACTTAAATGTGCAAATGTTTTCCTTAGCAGGATTGCAACCGCAAATTTCAGATTCATAAGCGGACGCTGTACCTCACAGCCACCGGGCCGACAAAGAACGAGGGTTGTATTATCTATTTATAGTTAGGCCTACTGTCATTCAGTTGATTTTACTAGCGTTTCAGTTACTGTTATGTAGCTTCATTACATGATCATCTAATTATCCATCATTGACGGTTTATATGTATAATAAAGCACTCCTCCTCGGTTATGGTTGGGAAAGTAAGCCCTCGACCATCGGGTGGGGAGAAGTAAGACCTCGAGCGCTACCCTCCGGTTTCCGGTCTTACTTTCCCAACCATAACCTCGGAGTCGGGCTTTATCCTTCACATAATTACTGACGAATTTTGTTTCGGGGCGTTGCTGAATAATGGCGTGATGTCCACTGGTCTGAAGGAATGAAATTACGTGACTAACGTCACCATGGAACCCCCGTCGATTTCGACTACGGGCCCCTGTGCAGTGGTTCCACCCCATACCATTCCTCTACCCACACCCGTAAATACAACGTTGAATACCGCACCAGTGTAACGTCCAATTCGACGTCGATAAACAGTGCAACGTCCAATCCGACGTCGATAAACAGTGCAACGTCCAATCCGACGTAACTAACGTTGAAAAACAGTGTAAAGACCAGTATGTTTATTATAGAATATTCTTTTTAATATATTGTTTCAAAAAGGTGTTTTCCCTGAAAACTGGTCTTAAGCAATTATAATTCCTATACATAATAATGGTGAACGAGGTAATCCCGATAATTACAGAGGGATTTCCCTTTTATGTGTACTCAGCAAAATATATACACGGATTCTTCATACCAGACTTACAACTTGGGCTACGATAAAATACCTGAATTTCATGCCGGTTTTAGAAAAGAGTATTCTACAACTGATCACGTTTTCACCTTAAATGCAATAATTCAGAAATACTTATCAAGAAAAAAGAAGAAATTATATGTCACCTTCGTAGATTTTAGTAACGCTTTCGATTCTGTATCACGATATAAACTTTGGTATTGTCTTCAAAACTCTTGATTAAATGGCCAAATGCTAGCTGCAATAAAAAGTATAAATTTATCCGTTAAAGCACGTGTAAGATGCAACGATAATGTTCACACAGATTATTTTGATTGCCCAGTCGGTCTAAGACAAGGGTATATTTTAAGTTCACTTCTTTTTTTCCTTTTTTATTGGTGAACTGTGTACTGATAGTGTAAAAAGTGGTAAATTTGGTGTACAGCTATTTCCTGATTTTTTACTTTTGCAGATGATGTCATTCTCATATCTAACGTAGCTTCAGAACTACAAAAACAATTGAATATTTTAGAATCATATTCTGATAAATGGGGACTTGCAGTCAACCTCGATTAAACCAATATTGTTGTTTTTAGAATAGGTGGGCGATTATCAGCTAAAGAAAAATGGTATCATAACGACTCTGTTATTGATGTTGTGAATTCATATAGATATCTTGGAGTTATATTTACATTCATGTTTAAAATGAATAAATGTACAGACGATCTAGCACTGAGGGGGAAAAGGGCTTTATTACAAATATTATCTAACTTAAAAAAATTGATGTTATTGATCCAATATTTGATTCACAAATTCAACAAATTTTACTTTATGGTGCGGAAGTATGGGGGGTTAGCGGCTTTGAGAATATTGAAAAAGTTCATTTGCTTGCATGTAAGAGATTTCTAAATGTATGAGTACAAACGCCTAATATTATAATATATGGTGAATGTGGACGATATCCTTTGTATATAAATGCCTTATGTCGAGTTATTAAATATTGGTTAATACTTACAGAAATGCACTCTGGTAGAATACCCAAAAAATCATATGACATCTCAGTATATTTAGATAACACTGGGCAAAATAATTATGCTTCTCATATTCGTAATATACTTTTTTCACATGGATTTGGCTTTGTATGGTTAGCACAAAGTGTAGGCAATAAGGCTGATTTTCTTAGATGTTTTAAAGATGTATGTGTAAATATGTTTTACCAATCTTGGCACTGTACTCTCGCCAACAGTTCACGCTACAATTTGTATAGAGAATTTAAGATTTAAGTGTTATACATGTAAACAAACATCGTAATATTCTTATAAAATTCAGAGCAGGCCTATTACAATAAAAACATAATGAAGGAAGATGGTTAAATATTGATGTATCTCTACGCACTCGTCCTGTTTGTAAATTTCGGTATAGAGGATGAATTCCATTTTCTTTTAGTATGCAAATATTATTCTGAAGAAAGATTACGTTATTTTCCACATGTTTACAATCGAATTCCAAATATATTTATATTCAAAAGCCTGTTAATTTCCGCTTCAAATGAAGCATTATTAAATTTATGCAAATTCATATATACTGCTTATAAAAATAGACTTTGTTAAACTCTTTATTGTTTTACGTAATGTTTCCAATATATTTTGATTGTATACATGTTATATGTATATGGGCCGGTGGCCTTCATGTATAATAATAAACATCTTTGACTTTGATCTCGGACGTTGATCAACAGTGTACCGTCCAATCGGACGTCGATTAACGCGCTGACGGCCATCACTGCTGTCAAGATGAAATCTTGATTCACGTATGAAGAGGAGTATTTTTAAGTGGCCAGGGTCCTTATTCTCGAAATGTTCGTAGCCCTAAGAATTCTTAACTTTGATCGTAGCCAATGTGTTAAGAATGGGCTTAAGAAGTTCGTAGGGCTACGAACGTTCCGATAATAGCTAGCAGATGTTGCCCTCAGGTGTTCGTGAGGTTCCTGCAGCAAAGGTGGACAAACAGCTGGATGTTGCCGTCATCAATTTCTCAAATCCTTGCACTGATCGGACATACGTGCAAGACATTTATGACGCGGGCTATCATCACTGCAGTTTAAAACCAAATTCATGGTTGTTGTGGTGTTGCCGACGTTACCTTACAGACGTCACGAACGTGGTCGGTCCTGGAACCGGAACTTGTTGGTACCAACCAGAGTGACTGTATATGGTGTTACGACGCATGCGCAAGAATTGCACTCGTGTTTGAGATATGTCGTCAAAATCTTGAATATGTGACTTGTTGTCGGCCTGTCGTGGATGCTGACGCCTGTTCCTGTGTGATTACGTCAGCAAGGGGGTTCTGGGATTAGCAACGTTTATCATTTCTCAGTACCATGGGCGTTGCGTGACTTAAACCTTCTAGCTAGTAACTAGGACATGCTGGGGTTCTCGCACAGTGCGGTGGTCGGTACCCACGGCAGGGAGATAAATTGAGCTGTGATATGTGCATATGTTTTTTATGCCAAATATTTCACAATTATGTATTTGATGTATCATAAGCCATATGGACGGACATTGTTCAGTATATGTACCTTTATTTAATTTGGTTGTAAACACAATGTATGACACCTTAATAAACTATTTCTCTTCTTCTTCTTGGCGACTCGGCCGTCTTACACGGTGTTCTTGGTGCTTTGTCTCGGGCAGGGTCATTCGCCACCACTCGCCCCTTTCCGTAACCTCCAAAAAAGACTCGTCCCCCACTCGATACTTGTTATGTGCGAAAATACGACAAATCAATCAGAACGCGCGTAAATGAGCGCGGTGCTTTGATAAAAATAATCCCGAGTACTTAAATCGTTTATGGCATTATGTCATTGCTTAAACAATCATGAAAAATATATATCGTCATATTGAAAGTACAAAGAACGTAGCTAAAAGGATTTTGCTGCCTATTATGAAGTGTTTAATAAGAATCATGCGATTGACGGTGAGAGATTCAAATACACGCACGTGTGTTTGTTGACATAACTGCTCTCATGGGTCTAACTGAGTGTATTTCTGACGATCTTGCGGGCTTGTTATGGAGATTGTACGTGCGCTTCGACCAATTTTAGGAAATGTAATTATAATCGCTACGAGTTTCAAAACAATAATATCGTAAACTAATCAACCTTAATCTGTCACATTGGCTTATATTTCATAGCTCTGGGGATATTTTAGTCTGACTGTTTTTTGGTCATTCACATTTTTTTCAGCGAATTCATTTGAAATTCCACCAGGGATGTGACAGCAAGGTTACACGAATGTTCATGTTGAGAAATATTTTAAAGTCATTTTTTAGTATCTGCTTTGGGATTTAATGTAGCTGAAATTTTTTGTGGGGGTATATTCACTAAAACAATTCCCATTTGTGATGATGAAACCCTATTAAGAAAATTTACATAATTGTAAATAAGGTGAACAGCTGGTAATAATTACATTAGAATATGTCTTTAACAAATATGTTTTTCTCCTTCTTTTTGTTGCATCAAAGAGGTTTAATTCTTTAAAATGAATAAGTAAAAAAAACACCAAAAACAACAACCTAGCAATACAATGTACATGTAGTTCGGTGATTTTTAGAAACATTGGAATCAAACAGGGATAGAGTTATCGTTCTTGTTTAAAGTAATTCTAATGTTCATGCGCCAATATGAATTCCTTCCAGAGGGGCACGAGTCGCTATTCGGCTTGTCCCGGAATAACACGAGTTGGTCACGAATGAGGCAGGGTCTCAAGAGCAACAGAACGCACGTACCATCGCCAGTAGGGGGGAAGACAAAGATGTTCCAACCCTTTTCTACCCAGAAGAGTTTCTCAGTCAGTCCTAAATAAGGCCCTAAACACGATTTAATGACAGTATGCCCCGAGTTTTCAGTCCTGACTGGGCAACGTCACATATGAAAATGGTCTCTATCAGAGATCTCGGGTTGGTCGTACGAGTGTCGGATGTGGTTGGAACATGCTGAGCTGGTTCCAAGATATTCTCTACCCTAATCAGAGGGGAGTAAACATGACTGACTGACTGAGTTTGGTTTTACGCCGCTTTTAGCAATATTCCAGCAACATCACTGCGGGGGACACCAGAAATGGGCTTCACACATTGTGCCCATGTGGGGATTCGAACCCGGGTCTTCGGCGTGACGAGCCAAGAGTAAACATGAATTACCGCACACTCTATGTACATTTACAGCAAGACGTTTTCTAATCGATGAGTGGATTTACTTTGTTCAAAGTAAAAACAACACTATACAGTGCTAATTCATTCCACTATTTACTTTTAGATTAGATAGAAGAACAATTTCAGGATCTACAATTGTTCTTTTATCTATTTAATGTTTAACTACCTGGATACAATCCATGAACAAAACGAGTCCCAATCAATCAAGTGAGTGAGTTTAAGTTTATATTCACAGCGGCGGTATGTCAGCCATATCGTGACTTAATATATACATAGTTACAAATTCATGATAAATACCTGCATTTTAAAAACCGGTCGACGAAGGACAGTAAAACCAACTAGAAAATAACACTATCGAGAATTAAAATTAGCATCAAGCTCTAAAATTGGATTTCAAATTAGAACAACACAATATAGTATCGCCAGAAGTTACTGAAGGTAGATTACCAAGGGGCCCTGAAGTAGTTATGGTACTTGCATGGACCCTAGCTGGATTTACACCATCCCTTCAGTCGATGGCTATTGTACTGAATTTTTAGCAATCACATAAAACAACAAACATACTACGATTATTAAATGTAGTAGATCACAGTATGCTTTGAATGTTTGGGGAATTACGTATCCTCTCAGGAGGACAATAAATTTACAATACTCTAACCTTCCGTGAGGATACATCCACTCACAATCTAAGTTTCTAATCAGACCAGATTTGTTTAGGGCGTGGCCTTCAAGTTTCTTGTTTTGTCATCAAGATATCTGATATTGCCTCAACAATAGGGTCAGTTACCTATCAAGCTAGCAAAAACTCTGTGTAATGTAGCAGGTTCATATACATGACGTTTGCCCTTTTCTGCTGTCTTGAACAAATTTTGGACAGTTTTTATTTTCATCCTTAGGGAGAAATGCCATCCGTGTGTCTGTGTTCATGTTTCATTGTGGTAGAAGGCCGAACGTGAAACTTTGGTCTTTGTTGGCACTGTTTTCGCGTGAGAAATTTGTTTCAGTCTCTTTTCGAGGTATTTTCTCTTTTGGCTCATCCTTAATCATTTCCAAATTCATCTAATACTTCAAGGATAGGAATCTGTCGAGTTACTGTCGAGGTAAAGGTTTCTGGCATTATCTATGGTATCTGTCTTGGAACCCTCATCGTGAGTGAATATTGCTTTACGCAATTTGCAGCAATATTCCTGCAATATCACGGCAGGGGACTCCAGAAACAGGATTCACGCATTGCACCATGCAGGAATCGAACCCGTGTGTTCAATCTGGCGAGCGAACGCTTTAACCACTAAGCTACCCAGTCGGCCCTGAAAGTCTCATCCGTTTTGACCCAGACGTGGCTGTTGGTTGTCCCTGAATTTGAACCAGATTGATAACGGGAAGCAGGGGGAATTTTGGTATTTTGTTTCTGTCATTAATAATAGACTACTTTAAAAGACAACAACTGTGCATTGTTCCATACTATGCCATTCTTTAATCCAAAAGGATAACATCATGATTTGTGGTGTTTTCCTTTATCAGTGTTTATCTGGTAACAGGATAATATCGAAATCTGTTTAATTTGACACAAGGTATCGTGGCACGACCTTGAAGAGAAGTGGTGTCAAAAGCCAGTTCACAAAGTTAGTATCGTGTGTTTCCACCATTGATGGTGCAGGCTTGACAACGACGACGCAGAGACGACACTAAACGATTGAAGAAAACTGGAAAACCACCGTCGATTACGACTACGGGTCCCTACGTAAGCCGTGACATGATATACGTGCAGTTTAGGTTGAAATTAACGTGTTTTCCACATCATGCAGAGGCAAGAGAATAATGAACTGTTCTTCGATTTTCAATGTCAGGTGTGTGAACGTCAGGTGTCAAAAAAGCATGCAAAAAGTGAGAAAGTTCACTGTGTACAAAGCGCACGTGCCAGACGCCACGCGCAATCCATGTTAATTTAGGATCATTTTTATAACTTTTCAAATAGCTTTTATTTTATGCAGTTTTATGTTATGCACAGTTACTTTTTTCCGTTAGTATATTACATTTTTGTGATGGTTGGAAATCAGTGATGAGATAAAACCTACCACTAGAAGTTAATGTCCCCCGAAAGGTCACCTGAAAAAGTCTTATGTCAAGGTTGCTGTAGAAATGGTAGGATGTTATGGAAACCCCAGATGAAAAAACACCGAAATTGTCAGGCACGGAATATTAAGATTTGTTGGTCCCAAGCAGACAACGTATATTCTCTCAATAGAGCCACTGATATTAATCACAAATTCCTTGAGTGTAAAAGTTGAGAAGGAATGTCTATACTTATAGTTTTATGGCTGTATATATTGCAGTGAATTCTCTGGTGGGATAAACATGTTGCCATGACAACACCGTCACATCAAGGCCTTACAGCATAAACGATACACAATACAGGAGCTTTTAGAATTTCAGTGGTGAAATATTGTTACTTTTCAATCAGCAAAATGTTCTTTAGTTGTGTTCACCATTTCAATTATTAACTGCATATTTTAAAATATTCTCTGACATTTGTACAACAAATTGTTCATGTTGCTACACGGCGTCTGAAAGAAAGTACAATTATGGACATGTGTTTATCAAAAGTATTCTTAAATGTTATATAAAGATATAGAGTGTCATGTTATGTCAGATAAACCTTCGTCATAATATTTCAGATAAGCCTTCGTCATGTTATTGCAAATAAGCCTTCGTCGCGTTATTTCAGATAAGCCTTCGTCATGTTAGGTTAGAAAAGCCTTTGTCATGTTATGTAAGATAAGCCTTTGTCATGTTATGTCAGATAATCCTTCGTCATGATATTTCAGATAAGCCTTCGTCATGTTATGTCAGATAAGCCTTCGTCATGGTATTTCAAATAAGCCTTCGTCACGTTATTTCAGATAAGCCTTCGTCATGTTAGGTTAGAAAAGCCTTTGTCATGTTATGTAAGATTAGCCTTTGTCATGTTTATGTCAGATAATCCTTCGTCATGATATTTCAGATAAGCCTTCGTCATGTTATGTCAAATAAGCCTTCGTCATGTTATGTCAGATAAGCCTTCGTCATGCTTTGTCAGATAAGCCTTCATCATGGTATTTCAAATAAGCCTTCGTCGTCTTATTTCAGAGAAGCCTTCGTCATGTTATGTCAGATAAGCCTTCGTCATGATATGTCAGATAAGCCTTTGTCATGATATGTCAGATAAGCCTTCGTCGTGATATTTCAGATAAGCCTTATTATTCTGTTTTAACGTTGGGGGCGGCAGAGAAGCCTAGTGGTTAAAGCGTTCGCTCGTCACGCCGAAGACCCGGGTTCGATAAAGAATTGAATTGAATTTATTGCCCACATGGCTGCAGAGATATCATCAGAGTACTTGCTCGTCACGTCAAAATTCGCATCGCAGTTTAATCAACCACACGGGTTCGATGG